TTTCTCTCCTTTCTTTCTCTCCTTCCTTCCTTCCCTCTCTCTTTCCTTCCTTCCCTCTTTTTCTTTCCTTCTTTCTTCCTTCTCTACCTGTTTCTTTTCTCGCTTCCTTTGCTCTTTGGTTCCATCCTTCCTTGTCTCTTTCCTTCCTTCCCTTCCTCTTTCTCTCTTTCGTTCCTTCTCTCCTTCCTTCCCTCTTTCACTTTTTTATTTCATTCTCTCCCTCCTCTCCTTCCTTCTCTACCCTTCTTACTTTCCTTCTTTCTTTCTCTCCTTCTTTCCCTCTTTCTCTCCCTTCTTCTTCCTTCCTTCCTTCCTTCCTTCCCTACCTTTCTTTCTTTCCTTCTCTCCCTCTTTCTCCCCCTTTCTCTCCTTCCTTCCTTCTCTACCTTTCTTTCTTTCCTTCCCTCCTTCTTTCTCTCCTTCTTTCCCTCTTTCTCTCCCTTCTTCTCTCCTTCCTTCCTTCCCTACCTTTCTTTCTTTCCTTCTCTCCCTCTTTCTCCCCCTTTCTCTCCTTCCTTCCTTCTCTACCCTTCTTTCTTTCTCTCTTTCCTCCTTCTTTCTCTCCTTTTTCCCTCTTTCTCTCCCTTCTTCCCTCCTTCCTTCCTTCTCTATCCTTCTTTCTTTCCTTCCTTCTCTCCTTCCCTCTTTCTCCCTCCTTCTCTACTTCCTTCCTTCTTTACCTTTCTTTCCTTCCTTCCCTCCTGCTTTCTCTCCTTCTTTCTCTCCTCCTTTCCCTCTTCTCTCCTTCCTTCCTTCCCTACCTTTCTTTCTTTCCTTCTCTCCCTCTTTCTCCCCCTTTCTCTCCTTCCTTCCTTCTCTACCCTTCTTTCTTTCCTTCTCTCCTTCCCTCTTTCTCCCCCCCTTCTCTACTCTTCTTTGTTTCCTTCCTTCTCTCCTTCTTTCTCTCCTCCTTTCCCTCTTTCTCTCCCTTCTTCTTCCTTCCCTACCTTTCTTTCTTTCCTTCTCTCCCTCTTTCTCCCCCTTTCTCTCCTTCCTTCCTTCTCTACCCTTCTTTCTTTCCTTCTCTCCTTCCCTCTTTCTCCCCCCCTTCTCTACTCTTCTTTGTTTCCTTCCTTCTCTCCTTCTTTCTCTCCTCCTTTCCCTCTTTCTCTCCCTTCTTCTTCCTTCCCTACCTTTCTTTCTTTCCTTCTCTCCCTCTTTCTCCCCCTTTCTCTCCTTCCTTCCTTCTCTACACTTCTTTCTTTCCTTCCTCCTCTCTTTCCCTCTTTCTCCCCCTCCTTCTCTACTCTTCTTTGTTTCCTTCCCTCCTTCTTTCTCTCCTTCTTTTCCTCTTTCTCTCCCTTCTTCTCTCCTTCCTTCCCTACCTTTCTTTCTTTCCTTCTCTCCCTCTTTCTCCCCCTTTCTCTCCTCCCTTCCTACTCTACCCTTCTTTCCTTCCTTCTCTCCTTCCCTCCTTCTTTCTCTCCTTCTTTCCCTCTTTCTCTCCCTTCTTCTCTCCTTCCTTCCTTCCCTACCTTTCTTTCTTTCCTTCTCTCCCTCTTTCTCCCCCTTTTTCTCCTTCCTTCCTTCTCTACCCTTCTTTCCTTCCTTCTCTCCTTCCCTCCTTCTTTCTCTCCTTTCCCTCTTTCTCTCTCTTCTTCTCTCCTTCCTTCCTTCCCTACCTTTCTTTCTTTCCTTCTCTCCCTCTTTTTCCCCCTTTCTCTCCTTCCTTCCTTCTCTATCCTTCTTTCCTTCCTTCTCTCCTTCCCTCCTCCTTCTTTCCCTCTTTCTCTCCCTTCTTCTCTCCTTCCTTCCTTCCTTCCTTCCTTCCTTCCTTCCTTCCTTCCTTCCTTCCTTTCTTTCTCCCCCTTTCTCTCCTTTCCTCTTTCTCCCCCTCCTTCTCTACTCTTGTTTCCTTCCTTCTCTCCTTCCCTCCTTCTTTCCCTTCTCCTCTCCCTCCTTCCTTCTCTACCTTCCTTTGCTTCTTTCTCTCCTTCTCTCCCTCCTTCCTTCTCTACCCTTCTTTCTTTCCTTCCTTCTCTCCTCCCTCCCTTTCTGTGTATGTGTTTTGTGTGTGTATATGCATATATGTGTGTATATATATGTGTTTGTGTATATATGTGGTTTTGTGCATGCGTTGTGATGCAATTTTTGTTTTTTGGCTTTTTAAGTCCCTTTTGCTGTGTTATTCAGTGTTTTTATGAGTGATGGCCACTCGTTGGCCTGATACGTGTCGTGTGTCCAAATTTGGTGTCAATTCGTCCAGTGGCTTTTGAGTTCTGTTCATCCCACAAACGAACATTACATTTTTATTTATATAGATATAATAATAGATATATAATTACATTATATATTATATATAATAATATGATTATATTATTTATAATTATATTCTTCTTCTTCTTCTTCTTCTTCTTCTACTTCTTCTTCTTCTTCTTCATAATAATATGCCAGTAAAGGTGGTCCCAGTGGTGATCGGCACACTGGGTGCAGTGCCTAAAGATCTTGGCCTGCACTTAAACACAATAGGTGCAAAGTATGGATTGTCAATGTTGCAATCCCAGGAGACAGCAGGATTGAAGAGATACAGCTCGAAAAGCTGACACGATATGAGGATTTTAAGATTGAACTGCAAAGACTCTGGCACAAGCCAGTCAAGGTGGTTCCAGTGGTGATCGGCACACTGGGTACAGTGCCTAAAGACCTTGGCCTGCACTTGAACATAATCAGGGCTGACAAAACTACCATCTACCAGTTGCAGAAGGCCACCTTACTGAGATCTGCAGCCGTCATTCGCCGATACATCACACAGTCCCAGACACTTGGGAAGTGTCCGACATGTGATCCAATACAACAGCCAGCAGACTGCTGTGGACTCATCTTGTTGTGTTTCAAATAATAATAGTATATCATATAATAATATAATATTATTATATCATACTAGCTGTCCCCTGCCACGCGTTGCTGTGGCCCACATGGAGGTTTGGCCCATCATTGGTGGGGTTCAGAATGCTCTGTAGTTGTAGGTGAACTATAAATCCCAGCAACTACAACTCCCAAATGTCAAGATTCTATTTTCCCCAAACTCCACCAGTGTTCACATTTGTGCATATTGAGTATTTGTGTAGAGTTTGGTCCAGATCTATCATTGTTTGAGTCCACAGTGATCTCTGGATTTAGGTGAACTACAACTCCAAAACTCAAGGCCAATGCCCACTGAACCCTTCCAATAGTTTCTGTTGGTCATGGAAGAACTGTGTGCCAAGTTTGGTTCAATTCCAATGTTGGTAGGGTTCAGAATGCTGTTTGATTGTAGGTGAACTATAAATCCTGGCAACTACAACTCCCAAATGACAAAATCAATTTTTTTGAGTGAAGGACATACATTGGGATGTTAGGTGTCTTGTGTCCAAATTTGGTGTCAATTCGTCCAGTGGTTTTTGAGTTCTGATAATCCCACAAACGATCATTACATTTTTATTTATATAGATAATATTATTATATAATATATAATTATATTATATAATAATATATTATTATAATATTATAAATCATCATCATCATTATTATCATTAATCATAATCATAATAAGCCAGTCAAGGTAGTCCCAGTGGTGATCGGCACACCGGGTGCAGTGCCTAAAGACCTTGGCCTGCACTTAAACACAATTGGCGCTGACAAAATTACCATCCTTCAGCTGCAGAAGGCCACCTTACTGGGATCTGCATGCATTATTCGCTGATACATCACACAATCCTAGACACTTGGGAAGTGTCCGACGTGTGATCCAATACAACAGCCAGCAGAGTGATCTTGTCTGCTGTGGACTCATCTTGTTGTGTTTATAATAATAATAATAATAATAATAATAATAATAATAATAATAATAATAATAATAATAATAATAATAAGACAAGAGGGATGCAGGGAAGACTGTAGACCAGGCACGGTCCAATTCAGGCCTTCCAGCTATTTTGGACTACCACTCCCACAATTCCTAACAGCTGGTAGGAATTGCACATGCCTGCTGTAGACTCTTATATTCTTTCTCCCCAAGTGGAATTCAGTGCATTATGATATATTTCAGTATCATCATTTTCCAGGATTGACTTTTGTTAAATGAATTTATCAGACAGTAAGCCTCAGGGCCTCATGTACATAAAGCCTATGCTTTGCTACAGAGCAGTTTAATAGACACCAATTAGAAATATCATTTCAAATGGTGTGTTTAGTCACATAGTGCTTAAAAACAGATTTTTCCCCCCTGCAATTTGAAGCCAAAAAAACAAACTTCCTACAGAATATGGATGAGCGACCATTACCTGGTGTTAGAGCGCCCTCCAGTGCTGTTTGGGCAAAATATATTTAATATTTACCTCCTTACATAGATGCTTGTCTTCAGGTAGCGGACCATTGTGTTCTGGGTTTGACTTGAAAGAGCATTGTCTTTGACTAATGTAAACAGATTAAACATTTCCTTTAGAGTTAATTCAGTTTCTAGTCAGCAAACGTTGATAGATGTAAACAGATGTACGAGGGGTATTTTTAAAGTAAGGTCCGTTTTTTTGTAGACACTAGTAGTTTGCGCGCATACCGCAACGAGCGAGTGCGTCGTGTACCGGCATGCCTCGGGAACAACTGTGCTCAGTTTCCGCTCTGTAGCTAACCTGTACGGTTCTGTTCTGTGCTTTAAAAATGTTTAAGACTATCAACTCACCCGCCGCATGTGAGGTTCGCTCAGTGATACGGTTTTTGTCAGCAAGGAAGCTGCCTGCTGCAGAAATTCATCGACAGATTTGTGGAGTGTACAGTGATACTGTTATGAGTGAAAGCAAAGTGCGTAAGTGGGTACGACAATTCAAAGATCGCCGTGACAATGTTACAATGATGACGACGTGAAAACGGCAGTGAACTCTTGGTTATCAGAGCAGGCGGCAAGTTTTTATGAAGAGGGTATTTTAAATGTATTGTCGAAGGCTTTCATGGCTGGAATCACTAGGTTCTGGTGGGTTTTTTCGGGCTATAGAGCCATGTCCTGGAGGCATTTCTCCTGACGTTTCGCCTGCATCTATGGCAAGCATCCTCAGAGGTAGTGAGGTCTGTTGGAATTAGGACAATGGGTTTATATATCTGTGGAATGGCTGGGGTGGGGCAAGGAGCTCTTCCCTGCTGCAGTTAGGTGTGAATGTTTAGCTGATCACCTTCATTAGTATTTGAAGGCCTGCCTGAGCCTGGGAAAATCTGTTGCTGGGAGGTGTTAATCTGTGCCTGGTTTTTTCCTCTCTGTTGTTTTGCTGTGTAATTTTAGAGTTTTTTAATACTGGTAGCCAGATTTTGTTCATTTTCATGGTCTCTTCCTTTCTGTTGAAATTGTCCACATGCTTGTGGATTTCAATGGCTTCTCTGTGTAGTCTGACATGGTGGTTGCTGGTGTGGTCCAGCATTTCTGTGTTCTCAAATAAAATGCTGTGTCCAGGCTGGTTCATCAGGTGCTCTGCTATGGCTGACTTCTCTGGTTGAAGTAGTCTGCAGTGCCTTTCATGTTCCTTGATGCGTGTCTGGGCGCTGCGTTTGGTGGTCCCTATGTAGACTTGTAGACTATGTAGACTATGTAGACTATGTAGAAGAGCTCCTTGCCCCACCCCAGCCATTCCACAGATATATAAACCCATTGTCCTAATTCCAACAGACCTCACTACCTCTGAGGATGCTTGCCATAGATGCAGGCGAAACGTCAGGAGAAATGCCTCTAGGACATGGCTCTATAGCCCGAGAAAACCCACCAGAACCTAGGGTATTTTAAACTTGGTTCAGAGGTATGATAAGTGTTTGAACAAACTTGGCAACTATGTTGAAAAATAGAGTGAAGTATGTACTTTCTGAAAATAAATTTACTTTTTTGAAATAAACTTTCGTTGTGTACTTATGTTCAAACGGACCTTACTTAAAAAATCCCCCTCATATATACATTTATCTTATCACTGTCACTGTTCTTATCAGTGTCAGCAGTTTACCATTTCAGTTCTCATTAGCAAGTTTTAATTACAGTCCAGTAAGCAGGTAGTTAATGATTTTGTCATTGCAGGAATGGCGTCTGCAAAATTATTAGGTCTCATTCATTCATTCCTTCCATTTAATTTCATTCAAATCCACACATATTCATATCAAATCCACATTTATCAAATCTGCACATTATATTTCTTGTGACAGAATTGTGGTATGTTTGTAGCTGATAATCTTTGGCAACACTATCAACTCCATCAATGCAGTGGTTGTGATTTTCCCCAGATACAAACTTCATTACCCTTATTAGGAGGAAATTAAATTTTGCACAATTAAAACTTGCGTGCCAGTTGCGCCCGTACCTTGGGAAGTCAGATCTGGCCACAGTGGTCCACGCTCTTGTTACATCCCGAATAGATTACTGCAACGCACTCTATGTGGGGTTGCCTTTGAAGACTGTTTAGAAACTTCAGTTAGTCCAATGGGCGGCGGCCAGATTACTCACCAGAGCGTCATACAGGGAGCATACCACCCCTCTGTTATGTCAGCTCCACTGGCTGCTGATCCAGTTCCGAGCACAATTCAAAGTACTGGTTTTGACCTACAAAACCCTATACGGCTCCGGCCCAGCGTACCTGTCCGAACGCATCTCCTTATACGTCCCGCCTCAGAGTTTAAGATCTTCTGGGGAGGCCCTGCTCTCGGCCCCACATTTATTACAAGTGAGGTTGGTGGGGACGAGGAGCAGGGACTTCTCGGTGGTGGCCCCTCGCCTGTGGAATTCGCTTCCCGGGCAAATTAGGTCATCGACATCCCTCCTCTCTTTTAGAAGGAAACTAAAAACATGGATATGGAACCAGGCCTTTGGGTAATCTGGCAGACAAAGGACAGTGACAACTAGAATTGGATAGGATTATGACAATGCTGAATGAACTTACAGATTTTGAGCTTGGCGAACGTTGATCACTAGATTGGTTTTTATTAGTTGTATGTATAACTGGATTGTTTTAATTATTTTATAATTGTTGCTGCTATGTATTTTATCTTACTATGTGTATTGCTGGCATCGAATTGTGCCTTTTGTAAGCTGCCCTGAGTCCCCCTTCGGGGGTTGAGAAGGGCGGCGTAGAAATGCTAGAAATAAATAAATAAATAAATAAATAAATAATGACAATCTGACAATGTTGACAATGGCTTGGAAATGGATTATGGATAAGTTAAATGGAGTACTCAATCATAGTATATGGCTAGATAAATGGCCACCAGACTTGTAATAGCTTAGTGGACTGTTAGTATATTGTTTTAATGTTTTATGTTTTAATGTTTTATGCTTCTAACTATTATAATTATTGCTATTTGGTATTTTATTATGCGGCATCGAATTGTGTCAATTGGAAGTTGCCCTAAGTTCCCCCAGGGGTTGAGAAGGATAAAAGTGTTTGAAATAAATGATAAATAAATTATTATTTTTTAAAATAACATTTTAATATATATTTCCCAGTACAATAAAAACAGAAAAAACAAACAAGTAATAGAAAAAAGAACAAAGAACAGAAATAAAGGCATTTCCATTTGTTTTCTTACTGTCTAATTATGTTTCTACATCTTACTGAATAAAGTAACTTCTCCGGCTATAAGTATTGCTTATATACTTCTTCAGCTCAATCAGACCTGTCAATTATAAAAACCTACAGTTAACATATTATTCTCTTTTTCTATAAAACATCAGCCAAAGATGTGTCAGGCTTTTGAAAATGTTGTTAATGACTTTTCCCTCTAAGTAGTGTTGATAACACTGTTCTACAAATTTTCAGTTTTTCTCAGTTTCGGAAATGAAATGTGCTGTTTCTTAATAAATTTAACATGCTGAATTCAAATATAATAATTAAATGTGTTAATTGGCTCTGGTTTTTTATGCAACAGCTATTTCAATTTTCTCCACAATAGGTAATTCGTTAATATTATGATAATGCGCCTAACCTTACTGCATGTATATAAACTGTGAATATTTACTAAATTTTAGTCAAATTATATTGCCAATAGTTTATACATGAGAAATATTTATTTAATTAGTCTATTGTTTATGTTTGTGCAGCAAGAAACTATATGAGTAGGCCTAATGCAGTTGAAAAGTCTGAAAGTTTAAATGTCGCTTTAATCGTGACTTTAGTTTTTATCCTGTTTGCTTCTCTTGACTTTTCCTTTGTATTCAAGGAAAGGATTGTCTCTTCCAATGCTCCAGCAGTAGTCTGACAGCATTGACGGAGTCCATTGGCCTTGATATCTTTTTTCCATAGTGCTTTATTTACACATGTGCGAGGCATAACTACAGTAAAAAGAACAATGTAAAACGATGTTTAACGATACTGTCTCAGTCTTCAACTGACTGACCCTCACCGTTCAAAAGTCTGGCCTTATATAGGGCTTTCTGGCTTTTGCACACGACACTAATACTGCGTCATCAAACTTTCTAGAGTATTCTAGAATCTTCCATAAGTCGCAACATGCATTTTTTCAACCATACGTGATCACGTGATTGCTTATATCATAAAAACTAGAGCCAATATGCATTTTTAAATGTAATTTTCGTTTTCAGCACCCCAAAATCATAAAAGAACAGCTATTTTCATGCCCGCAACTTTCTAGAATCTTCCATAGTGTAAGTCGCAACATGCATTTTTTCAACCATACATGATCACGTGATTGCTTATATCATAAAAACTAGAGCCAATATACATTTTAAAATGTCATTTTCGTTTTCAGCACCCCAAAATCATAAAAGAACAACTATTTTCAGGCCCGCAACTTTTTCTCCGTTGAACAGTGTAATTTGTGCATTTTGAATAGGCTAATTTCAACAGCCAGTTCTCATTTGTTGGAAACAGAGCATTTTTCCATTTCTATGCATATTCTACTCTTGCTGCTTTAGTCATATATCATGGTAATCTTCCATGTTTCTTCCCAAATTGATCATTCATCAATCCAATTCTGATTTCAACTGAATATTAACATTCAAAATCCTTTGTATCATATTATGCATTTGACTCCGGAATTTCTCAAACTTTCCCTAAACCACCACATATGATAAAACATGCCTACCTCATGCATACATTTCCAATACATATTAGAAATTCCTTTGAGCATTTTGACATTTTTCCCCTGAAAGTCAAATATCAATTATACATTTAATAGGAAGTCACTTTAAGATCATAACATTATGTAAATTTCACTCCTGTATATTATATCCAAAATTCTGATTTTTCAAATATTTGTCTATAAGAATATTATTGAAAATGATTCCCCTCTGACATTAATTTGACCTCATTCAATATTATCCTTCGTCAAATTCCAAAAGGTCTTGATAAGTCACTATTTTTTCCTTTGCTACTTCCCATAAGAAGTCTGTTGTGTTGAAACATGTAAAGGCACCTCAAAGTATAACTTTTTCATAGTCTTAACAAACCATGTCTCACAAAATTATAATAAAATCTGCATTCTCTTTAGCATTGTTGCTCATTCGTTCAGTCGTTTCCGACTCTTCATGACCTCATGAACCAGTCCACGTCAGAGCTCCCTGTTGGCCGTCACCACCCCCAACTCCTTCATGGTCAAGCCAGTCATTTCAAGGATGCCATCCATCCATCTTGCCCTTGGTCGGCCCCTCTTCCTTTTTCCTTCCATTTCCCCAGCATAATTGTCTTCTCCAAGCTTTCCTGTCTTCTCATTATGTGGTCAAAGTACTTCATCTTGGCCTCTACTATCTTTCCCTCCAATGAGCAGTCAGGCTTTATTTCCTGAAGCATGGACTGGTTGGATCATCTCGTGGTCCAAGGCACTCTCAGAATTTCCTCCAACACCACAGTTCAAAAGCATCTATCTTCCTTCACTCAGTCTTCCCTATGGTCCAGTTCTCACATCTGTAGGTTACTACGGGGAATACCATTGCTTTAACTATGTGGATTTTCGTTGCCAGTGTGATATCTCTACTCTTCACTATTTTATCAAGATTGGACATTGCTCTCCTCCCAAGAAGTTAGTGTCTCCTGATTTCCTGGCTGCACTCTGCATCTGCAGTAATCTTTGCATCTAGAAATACAAAGTCTGTCACTGCTTCCATGTTTTCTCCCTCTATTTCCCAGTTGTCAATCATTTCTGTTGCCATAATCTTGTTTTTTTATGTTTAGCTGCAACCCAGCTTTTGCGCTTTCTTCTTTCACCTTGATTAGAAGCCTCCTCAGCTCCTCCTCACTTTCGGCCATCAAAGTGGTGTCATTTGCATATCTAAGGTTGTTAATGTTTTTTCCAGCAATTTTTACCCCAACATCTTTAGCATTATCATACCATAATTATCCATGCCACCCAAACTTCAGGACATGCCCTTCCAGTTCTGGCAATCTCTTATTAATCAAGACAATCCAGTCTTTCAACCAAGCATGCAAGAAAGTACAATTTAAAGTCTGAACGTCCTGATCCTCTTCTTTGTACTGCATTCCTTCAGTTTCCATACTGCCTTCATTATTCTAACAGAATGCACTAGATTGCATTGTCTATTCTTATAGACAAATTTCTGAGAAATGTAGTAATTAAGTTTTGTTCTCAGATAAGTTCTCGGTAATATTTTCAACAAATTGGGATGTAATACTTCAAAAGAAAATCCATGGATATATCTACACAGGTCATATGACTTGGGAGGTGCATAGGCTTCATGGCATACACATGATGTAGGAAGCTGATTTGCCTTAATGCGATCTTGTCCAATGTTACCTAAAGTTGGGGGTTGCTCCAAAGCTTCCCTGACTTTCCAGAGCTCATCCACATTTTTGGCACGTATAAACAGTGGGGATTTTTTTTTTATCCTGTCAGGAGCGACTTGAGAAACTGCAAGTCGCTTCTGGTGTGAGAGAATTGGCTGTCTGCAAGGATGTTGCCCAGGGGAAGCCCGGATGATTTTATGTTTTTATCATCCTTGTGGAAGGCTTCTCTCATGTCCCTGCATGAGGAGCTGGGGCTGATAGAGGGAGCTCATCCGCCTCTCCCCGGATTTGAACCTGTGACCTGTCGGTCTTCAGTCCTGCCGGCACAGGGGTTTAACCCACTGCGCCCTATAGGGGCTCCAACAACAGTTGGGATGAGTCTGATTTAGAATTGGTTGCCACTGTTTACATGGCCTTCTCAGTTCCCTCAGGTTTGAGGGGCTCGGAGACAGGAGATTCCTCCTTTCCCCCCTCTTGCATTGCTCTGGTGTTCCAACTAGTGCCAGCACATGTGACAAGTGATGATCACTATCTATTTCATACCCAATGGCCATCTAGTGGTGCCAAACCGACTCAGTGTTTCATAATGTGGACACCCTCTGGCCATGCAGACTTCCCTAGTACTGATCTACAGTATTTTGATCCAGAGTAGCCTTCTGGACCAGCTCAAAAGTATGTGACCCATGTACATGGGCCCTACATCTTTTCATGTAAAGCATATGTGAAAAATGTGACCTAGATATTTTCCAACTCACATTTGTTACCATCTATTTGCGGATGAAGCATGTCATTACATACTATAATATATTTAAACTAAGTAATAACTGATTAAAGATTAAGAATAGGTACTCAACAACTGTTATAGAGAGGCTAGAAGAGGACTATTAGTTGGCATGAAATCTTGAGGCCATCTATCTATCTTGGTAGACCTGTTTATGAGAATTAAAAATCAGATTGTATTGAGGGAATTTTGTCACATGAGCAACCATTATTTGGTACGACTGAGTTCTTCTATTAAACGACAACAAGTAAAGCGTTTTAAACTTTTTATTGTTAAATAATCTTTATAAGCAACTATGAAGAACAACAAGCAAATAAACCATTCCTTCTTTTAGCCAGATCTACCCCCCTTTGCATAGGAATCACAGCCCAGCTTAAAGAAAGGGTTCAAATTACTCAGAGAAGATAGCACATTTCCAGACGTGAAATCAAAGCCCTATGGCAGCTCAGCCAATTTGTATCAATCATAAATATGAACAGCAGCAAAAGAAAAAAAAGAGACTATTTACAGTTTAACTACTATCATTTATACAATAAATAATATTTAAATGAATACATTTAAAACATTCAGGACATGTCTTTTGGCTTTATCACTCACTCTCTTTTTTTGAAGACCCCCTGCAATAAGCAATTTAATGTTCAAGATCTATAAAGGCTGCAAACATAAAGCTCAGATGTATGAAGAAAATTTGAATGGACTTCTTGCTGATTTCTCATGTTAACTCCCTGTCCCCTGTCTATATTCTGTAGAAAAAATATCCCTGCTTTGTGAAATAGTTTCAAGGTGCGCATTAATGACCTGCTACAAAACAAAATCTCATATATTTCTTAATAAAATTGATATTCATACTAAATATTTTGACATGCAGATTCAATAACACAATAAAAGGAAAGTTTAGGCTGGCAACTCATAGACAATTTTAGAGTTAGCTACTGACTGCACATCTGAGTAGAGAGAAGCCCTAAATGCTCTCACTACTCTACACTGAACCCGTATTCTCTTCAAGCTCCTGCACCACAAAATTTGACTGCGGCGCAACTCCTTCTCCCCATAGTCAATCTCTGTGTTATCTTCACAATCTTCTTCTTCTTCACAATCTTCTGTTGGTGGGAGGGCATCACCAACTTCCCTCAAGCACCGCAAATACTCATTGGGGATACTTGTGATTACCTGTCCCCACAGTAAGGTCCCTACGCCGAAGAAGATGGACCACAGCCATTGCTCTAGTGTAAGCTTTGCACAGCTAAAAGGTATCCCTCCGAACTGAACAATGATAATCTGTACAATCAATGTTCCCAGAACAATACAACAAAAAATGGTATTTGTGAATATTCCTGAAAATACATTCCTTTCTCCATGAATCTTTCGAGCATTGACTTCATTACAAATCTGCATCATCACAAATGTATTAAATATTATAGTATAATGTTGGGTAGGTGGGGCCTCCAATGGTGCTATTCGCCCGTTTTCAATATCAAATATTCTTTCACCTGCAAACACAAGTGTAAAGACAATTACAAGCTGATATACGGCATGGAACAAAATATTTTTCATCATTGTACGGGAGATGAGGGGCTTATTTCTACCGTAAGGCTTCCGTTTCAGAAGGTCCTCTGTTGGCTTTTCTGTTGCTAAAGCAAGAGAAGCAAATGTATCCATAATGAGATTGACCCACAGCATCTGAACGGCTTTCAGAGGAGAATTCTGGGTGACAAATGCACCTGTAAAAGCAACAATCACTGCTACCACGTTGACAGTAAGTTGAAACTGAAGAAATTTGGAAATACTATCATATACATTTCTGCCCCACATAACTGCTTTAACAATGCTTGAGAAGTTGTCATCTGTCAGAATGATATCAGAAGCTTCTTTAGCTACATCTGTTCCAGCAATACCCATTGCAAAGCCAACGTCGGCTTTTTTTAACGCAGGCCCATCATTAGTGCCATCACCAGTCACAGCTACCACTTGCCTCTGTCCCGTGGCGTCACTGTTAATGATCCCTGCTACGAGGTTGTATTTGTCAGAAGGCGAGGACCTTGCAAGCACACAAAGTGTAGGCCAAATCTTGTCAATAAGTTCTTGCTTTATCTTTCCATCAGCACCGCGTATTTGTGTATTAAACTCAGACCCCTCTAAGCATACAAATGTCTCCCCAGGTCGAATAATGCCACATTTGGCAGCTATTGCACGAGCGGTGTCAATGTTGTCCCCAGTGACCATGCGCACAACTATGCCAGCATTCTGACATTTTTTTATTGCGTCAGGAACCTCTGGCCTAACTGGATCTTCAATACCTACAATTGCAATACATGTCAAATCATTGATTATAACGTCCTCATCATCCCATACTGAATCTGTTTGGTCAAAGCCAACTGGGAAATCTCTGAAAGCTAGACATATGGTTCGGAGTCCTTCAGATGCCATTGGTGCAATCACATTTTTAATCACATTTTCCCTATCTTTTTTTGAAAAGGGGGCAGGCTTTCCAGCAGCATTCAATAATCGGCTGCATTTTTGAAGGAGTATTTCAGAAGCACCCTTGCTGAACAATTGAAAACTATTATTTTTATTTTTCAAAATTGTACTCATAGATTTCCGGTCAGAATTGAAGGTATAGACTTTATATAAACTGTCTTCTGGTATCTGCGTTCTTACAGCCTCATAGTTCAGATATAATTCTAGAAGCAAGCCCAGTAAGGCACATTCTGTTTTATTGCCAATTTGGCAAGGTAGACCTCCTTTTTTTTCAGGAGGGAGTATTTTGGATGTATAAGCACAATTTACAGAAATACCTTTAAGCAAATAATCCAGCACGGTTAGATCAATTAATTCAGGTTCAGGGACCATTTTGTAATGTGTCCCGCCAATGAAAATCTGGACTACTGTCATTCTGTTCATGGTTAAAGTGCCTGTTTTATCTGAACAGATTGCTGTTGCATTACCCATAGTTTCACACGCATCCAGATGTCTCACTAGGTTATTATCTTTCATCATTTTCTTCACGGAGTAGGCAAGTGAAATGGTGACTGCAAGTGGAAGGCCTTCTGGCACTGCAACAACCAAAATTGTAACACCAATAATAAAGAACTGTACGATATATTGTATATAAATTGGTGTACACTGAACAGTCCAAACACGCTTATCAATCCAAAATGTTTGAATAGCAAAAGAGGCTATAAGGACAAGGACAGTGACTATAGCCATTGCCAGACCTGCTTGGCCAATTTGAACTGCTAATCTTGTGAGTTTTGCTTGTAAAACTGATTTCTCCTTTTTGTGATGAGTTGGCTTCTTTGCCTTTTCAGGTTTTTCCTCATCGTTGGTTTTCTCAGGGCCCTGTGTCTTTTTAGGTGTTATGGTGTCTTCATTATCTTCATCTCCAGCTCCAAGTAAGGTGAGGATAATTCCTGTTTGTGAATTTACACCTACAGCGGTAATAACCATTTTCCCAGAGCCTTCCATTACATGGGTGCCCGAAAGCAACATGGGGTCCTTTATCAGAGACTTCTTGACATGATCTGATTCCCCTGTGAGAGCGCTTTCATCAATTTTCAGATCATGCCCTTGGAGAAGCAAACCATCAGCTGGTAAAAGGTCACCATATTTGATGTGAGCAATATCTCCTACAACTAAGTCAGTCACTAGCACCTGTGTCATTGCCCCATTCCTGATGACAGAAAACTTCTGTTCACTTTCAATACGACTCTGCAGTCCTCTAAATTGTTTTTCTTTACTCCAGTCATTGAAAGCTGTAACTAACACTACACACATGACTGACAGTAGTATTGCAAAACCTTCAATCCAGTCAGCCTCCCCTTCTTCCTCTTCATCTGAAAAGTCATCTGAATGACATGCTCGAAAACTTCCTCCCGGGGGATCATAAAATGAAAGTCCTAAGGATATGACGGCTGCAATTTCTAAAATACATAATGTTGTATCTTGCAGTGCTTCCCACACTAATTGTAGAAATGTTAAAGGTTTCTTAGGGGGTATAAAGTTTATCCCAAAGACAGATCTCCTAATGTCTAATTCTGCTGATGATATCCCAGTTGAAGGAGAAGTGCGTAGCCGTCTACAGATTACAGAAGTGTCACCATACTGCTCCTTAATTTTTTTCACTGCTTCCTTTTTTCGATATTCCATTAATGTCCGCAATTCTGTGAGAGTGATTTTGAAGTCTTCTGCTGTCAGGGGGACTGGAGTCACCAGCATGATGGTTTCCTGTAATATACAATAACAGTCCAGAATTTTTTGAGAATACAGGAGGCTGAATATCTTCCTTCTCTGTATATACCTATTCAGAGATTTGCACTATTTGCAAAAGAAACAGCATTTCATAAAAGGTGTGAAAACAAGTGAAATGTAGAATTTCTTTGTTTACTAATGAAGAGATGGAATAAACTCTGTAGGAAACATCATATTACGTAAGAGGATCCAAGGGAAACCATATTCAGGATATTTTATTACCATTTTAAGGAGTAAATGGGGATTGTACCAGGGTCGTAGCCAGAAAACAATTTCGGGAGGGGTTGACATTTTCGGGGGGGGGAGTTGAAAATTTCGTGGGGGGGGGGTTGAAACCTGCCTCTGAGCTCACGCTGAAGCAAAGAGCAGACCTGCAGGGGGCAGAGCAGCCTTCCATAGCCTGCAGCTCCGCCCCTGTCAACCACCTCCACCAAGTCTGGCCTCCTTAATGAGAACATTCAACACACACACCCCACAATGACAATAATAATAATAATAATAATAATAATAATAATAATAATAATAAACCTTTATTTGTACCCCGCTACCATCTCCTGGAGGACTGGGTGCGGCTTACAAGAGGCCGAGCCCAAATACAACAGTAAAAACAACAACAGCAATACAGCAAAATAACTCAAAAACAAGGCAATAACATTAACAGCACATCATAACGCAATTAAAATCTGTGGTAGGGCCAAATGTAATAATTAAAATTAAAAAGTGCTGGGCATGACCAGGTGAAAAGGGTAGGTGTTTGGAGGGGGATGGGCATGCAGTTATCCTGGCTGGGGCTTGCCTGATGTCCTTAGGGAGAGAGTTCCAGAGTCTAGGGGCCACCATCGAGAAAGCCCTATCCCTTGTCCCCGCCAATTGCGCATGTGATGCAGATGGGATGGTGAGTAGGGCCTCTCCAGGTGAACGAAGAGATCGTGTAAGTTCGTACACAGAGATGCGGTCATGCAGGTAGGCGGGGCCCAAACAGTGTGAATAAATTGTCAATATTTGCCTGAGATAGTGCTTGCAGTTCTGGAGGGACTCTTAATTTTTTGCATCTCATAGACTTAGCATGGGGATTTGGTTAACCAGTTAAAATTCATGAGTAAACCAGGTTTTTTTAAAAAAAATCTGAAACATTTCGGGGGGGGGGGGGTTGAACCCCTACCCCCCCCCTCGCTACAGGCCTGGATTGTACAATGGGACTTGGGAGCAGGGAAACAAATCTCTTTCTTTCGTGGTTTTTTTTTTAATGTGGAAAATGGCAAGGGGAAAAGAATAAATCTTTCTAACAGGAGCAATGCAGGTGTAGTCTGATTTGGACCCTTGTGCAGATGCTTTTTACTTTAAAACTCACGTGAATGTGATGAACTGATATCTTTTCTAGTTTGGTCTTTTTAAGGAGACAAATTCCCTTAGGCCTTGAGTCTAAAACACTGGGATAGAAATACTGGCCTAACCTACAGGGTTTGCTATAATGAGCATTTCTCATCCAGAATTCTGAAATACTAAAAATCTAAAATTGTCCACATGGGTAGGTGAGATAAGGACATTTTTATTTTCTGGTGGTTCAATGTACACCGAATGGTGAAAATTATTGTACAAAGTTACCTTCAGTCTATGTGCATAGGTTGTATATGAAACACTAGAGCATTTTATGCTTAGACTTGAGCTCCATACCCAAGATATCTCATTATATACGCACATACACACTTACCTGTCCGAACACATCTCCTCCTCTGAACCCACTAGGACATTAAGATAGTCTGGGGAGGACCTGCTCTCAGTCCCGCCTGTGTCACAAGTATGTCTGGTGGGGATGAGAGACAGGGCCTTCTCAGTGGTGGCCCCTCGGATGTGGAACACCCTTCCTACAGAAATTAGATTGGCCCCCTCCTTGTTATCATTCCGGAGGAAAGTGAAAACCTGGTTGGGTTGTTGAGGTTTTTTCGGGCTGTATGGCCATGTTCTAGAGGCATTCTCTCCTGATGTTTCGCATCTATGGCAAGCATCCTCAGAGATCGTGAGGATGCTTGTCATAGATGCAGGCAAAATGTCAGGAGAGAATGCCTCTAGAACATTTATTTATTTAGTTATTTACAGTTTTTATATTCCGCCCTTCTTACCCTGCAGGGGACTCAGGTACACATATGTACACATATATGGCAAACATTCAATGTCAATTTGACATACAACGTATACAGACATACACAGAGGCTATCTAACTTTTTCTGGCCGCCAGGGGAGCTGTCACTTTCATCGTCCATCTGCGACACTGATGAAGTACTTCTGCATTCCCCGCATGCCTTTTGCTGGAGTCCTTGCTGGAGTCTTTTTTTTTTATGGCCTCATAAATTAGTTAATTTAGCCTTCCCACACTTTAAGGTGGTACCTAATTTTCCTACTTGACAGATGCAAGTATCTTTCGGGTTGCAAAGGTTGACAACTGGCTACACAATTGGTTGGAAACCCACTCCAACCCGGGCTGGCTTCGAACTCATGACCTTTGGTCAGAGTGATCTTAATGCAACTGACACTCAGCCAGCTGCGCCACAATCCCGGTGCTTGGTCATACATGGTCATACAGCCCCCCAAAATTTACAACAACCCAATGATTACGGCCATGAAAGCCTTTGACAATATATTGAAGACCTGGTTGTTCGAGCAGGCATTTGAATAGGCAATGTAAAGAATATAGGAATATGGAACAACTGGATGATGAAACTGGATTCTGATTCTAATTATGATATGGTAACGAGATGTTTATTGATGTATAATTGATTGTTTAATATTCTAATTGTTTTTAACTGTTTTATGTTGTTCTGAGCATTGAATTTTGCTATTGTTAACAGCTTTGAGTCACCAGAGGGCTGAGAAAAGTGGTATGCAAATATAGTAAGTAAGTAAATAAATAAATAAATACTAGTATTCCAAAATTGAAAAGAAAAATCAAAATTCCAAATACTTTGGCCTGAAGCATTTCTGATAATGAATTCTAAACCTGTATATGTATGTATGCATTTATATTCGGTATTTATAGATTGCTTTCCTCAGAGAAGCTCTTTTTATTGTAAGTATTCTACTGAATCAAACCATGAATAAGTTATCACAGTGGTTTGAGATGATGCTAGCCTATATTACTTATGTGTTCGATGTAAACTCCAGTATTATGACCTCCTCTGACTCAGTCTTGGTAAAGACTTTGAACTGCTTTGGCCTAGCACATGACTCCTATTCGTATTCTTCAACACTATCATCAGGTTGGAGCTGACACATTAGATCGGAGGTCACGTTAAGTTAGCTAGGTGACAGAGGATTAACAGGCAAGGAAAATCCCCATTTTATTTCATTTGGCCAATCTAATATATGGTATTCACTTGAACATCTGGGTGGGGTGGGGGGGGGGGGACATAATTCCTATAGATTACAACAACATATTTTCTCCAGACTTTAACTATGTTTTAAGGCTACACCATATCCCAAGGGAGCATAACAGAGAAAGAAATATTAAGTTCTAATAGCTCCACGATTATGCATATTAGATAAATCTTGTAATATACAATTATCTCATTCAAAGACATTCCTGGAAGGCAGAAGTGAGATCTATATAGATCAGTTAGATAGGAATGGGTGCAAGAGGCATGCACTTTCTTCTCATTTTCTGACTTCTCCATTCTTTAACAACCCCATTTTAGTTTTCCTCAAATAAGGAACTGTTTCCTTTAGACTCCTGCTTAAAAATAACCAGGCAGAGCCAGGCACCTAAAATATGCACCATACTGTCCAACTATTCACAGCTGGACAAGAATAGCCAAACAACATCAGAGTGAAGTCAATATGATCAAGTTATTCATGAGGAAGAATACACAAGCTATTAGATAATGCAGCAGTTTGCTTCTGCTTGAACCTACTAGGAAGTGCAAAATCTGGTCCTGTCCCCGTGACCCACTCTACATCCTGGTGCACTTTCGAGGAGGACAGACCATGGATGATGGGACTTGAAGTACCTCTACTTACTTTCCGAGACTGTTGCGACCCTCAACAATGACTGAACAATACCAAACTTGGCACATAGACCACTCATGACCTACTTTACGCCCTGGTGCGGTTTGACTGTGGATCGAGCATGGATTATGGGACTTGCAGTACCTTCGCTCAATTCCTGAGACTACTGCAACCATCATCCAATTTCTGATAAGGACCAAACTTGGCACACGGGGCCACCATGATGCACTCTACATCCTGGTGCAGTTTGGAGGATGATGCACCATGGATGATGGGACTTGCAGTACCTTCACTCACTTAGTGAAACCACTGAGACCCTCATCCAATGACTGATGAAGACCAAACTTGGCACACAGAGCCCCCATGGCCAACTCAACATTCTGGTGATGTTTGGGGGAGAACAGACTATGGATGATGGGACTTCAAGTACCTCCACTCACTTCCCAAGACTGCTGCAACCCTCATCTAATGACCAATCAAGGTCAAACTTGGCACACAGAGCCCCATGAGCGACTCTACATCCTGGTGCTGTTTGGAGGAGGATGGACAATGGATGATGGGACTTGCAGTATCTTCACTCACTTCCTGAAACCACAGTGACACTCATCCAAATACCAATAATGACCAACTTGGCACAGAGAGCCCCCGTGGCCAACTCAACATTCTGGTGATGTTTGAGGGAGACTATGGATGATGAGACTTGCAGTACCTTAACTCACTTTCTGACACCACTGTGACCCTCATCCAATGACTGATCAAGACCAAACTTAGCACACAGAGCCCCCATGGCCCACTCTCCATCCTAGTACAGTTTGGAGGAGGATGGACCACAGATGATGGGACTCACAGTACCTTCACTAACTTCATGAGACCACTGCGAGCCATATAAATAACTGATAAAGACCAACCTTGATATACAATTCCTTTCTCTAATAACCCGGGCAGCGCCGGGTCCCCAAGCTAGTATT